CGCTTCGGCGCCCCACCGCGCTTTAGTCAAACACCGGCGGACACTCGCTCCTTCCTTCCTTCCTTCGCTCGCCCAAGGAAAACTTGATTTACCGCTTTGCTCGCCGACTACCGTTTCCATCCCGTGGAACACACGGAGGGGAGTGCGGTGGCCGCGTGTGTCTTCCGACGTTTATTACTCGCGAACGAAGGACAGATCGAAAGAGATCCTCGTTGCTGGCAACCTCGAAATGGCAAATTATCGGGCAAACACCGGGTTAATGAATGTTGAAACGAAACTCAGTTTCGAAGGTTCGTCGAATAGAACGATCGAATCATGTAAATTTTGAGATAGTTATTAATAGATTTCCAAAAAATCTTTTAAGAAATATATGTGATAAATAAGAGTGTACATCAAAGTTGAATAAACGAGTCATAATTCTTGAATTTCATTAACGATATCAATCAACTTTCACGAAGAGGGAAAGTACTCCATTGAAAAGGAAAGAAATAAAAGTCTCTCGATTGCTCGCACGAAGCCCTCCCCCGAATAATCTCAGCGGAACAAATCCATCGAGCGAGACCATGCGTTTTCAAAAGGGGGGATCCCCCGCTCGTTGATCGTTTTTAATTAAAGACGCGAAGAATATAATTGGCCTAAGCTAAGGAGACGTCCTCAAAGATGGAAGGGTCTAATCACGAGGGCGTAGACAATGGTCGAAGCGAACAACGAGAGCTATCTCTTTCGCGTTGTTAACACGACGAGCGCGTGTGTTTATGGCAGATTCGTTTGAAGGAAAAGAGGGAAAAAAGGGAAAAAAATGAAGGGTCCATAGGGGTGGTGGTAATTAACCATCGTCTACTACTCGTTTCTACGCTCGAGCACGCAGCATCCGGGGTTTTGCGCTTTCCTTCGAACACGATATAATGGGGCTGCGTGGGCGGGTCGACAGATACTTCTGGGAAATCGAAACGTGTCTGGCCGTTATTAATCTCGCATCGACCGACGTGAAATATGATTTCGACTGCAACTCCGACTCACCCCTTTACCTTTTGCCGCGCGGCCAGTGTTTCTCGGGACGCAGGAATAACATTTTTTCGATGGAATATGTAACAGGTTGTCTTACGAGGAACCGATGGAAAGTAATATCCGGCATTATTGCACTCCTGTGGCTCGGGGAAAAGGGAAAGCACCGGGTCGTTGGGTTTCAGTTTGGCACACCTTCCTCTTTATTTTTACAGTTGAGAGACGTTTTCGTTGGGAAATGCGTGTCTCGAACGCAAACAATTCGACGAAATTTTTTTCCCCAACGATACAACACTCCGTGAATTTCTATTCTAACTTTTAGCTGTAAATGAATTTTCTTCGAGCTTTTGATTTATATTTTATACAAGAAGAAAAGGGTGTCTCGATTAACGCGAAACAACGTATCGTTGTTTGTATCATTAAAAATTTCGTCTCTCGTCAAGATTCCAGCTCTTCTCCTTGTGCACGACACCTGAACCATGACCACTCGGACTACCCAGCCAGATTATTCTCTCCTGTTATATCGCCACTCATACCCGTACCAACCTCCACTCTCTCTCTCTCACCGACTCACCGCCCTCCTCCTAAAAATCACCTCCTCGCTTCCTATGCGCGAGCCAAGTATTTCCACGTGTATTTCCATGTATCATTTCCCCTGAGGAGGAACGTGCATGATTCTCATTAATAACAGGATTTTACGCGGTTTTTAGAAACAACACTCGACTCGGCCGCGAAACCATCGTCCAACCGTATCTTCACCAGCTTCACGGGGCGTGAATTATCGCCGTGGACGCGCTGCTCCAGGATTTTCGAATTCCGCGCTCACTTCCGCCTCTCTCTCTCTTTTCTGGACCCCCATTAAATCCGACGTTGCACCGCATAAACAAAAGGAGAAGAATCCATGGGCGTCGGGTTCCACGTATTCTCACAATGTGCGTCCCGAGCGCGTGTTCGACGCACAATAAACGAAGCGTGAGCGCGTAAGGAGCCACGCGCGCGCGCGCGCGCGCGTGTGCGTGCGTGCGTGTAGCATAAAACGGCGAGTGGAGGTTTCCCAAGTGGCATGCGGGATACGTCAGGGGTATTCAAATATACAGAGTGCTATTATTTACGAGCGTTGGATACACGGGGTGCCTCGAATTCCTGTGTAAGATAAAGAAAAAACAACACGTGTCTCGGCCTCACCCCCTCGATCCCACGAATTTGAATTTAGAAACGACATGGATCCGAATCGTTTTGAAAGCGATTAGATACGGATTTGTCTCGTTCCGTTGGGGGAATTGATCCTTGCAGAGGTTTCATTCTCTTTCTTTTTTCTTTCGAATTGGAGAAGAACATTTGAAAATATTCCACGTGGAATAACAGGATACGAAATTTTCTCAATAATCTATGAAAAAAGTTAGAACCAATGGGAGATGGAACGCAAACAAACGGATGGAAAGGGAAAGTCGTATTATATTCGTCGGAGAATACATGGAATAATCTGGAGAGAAGCAACAGCGGTTGTAGAAAAAGCAACGGTTGAAATTCATCGCGTTCCCACCTCGACAAAATAAACCGATATCGGCGTTTGTCCGCAATGTAAATAAAGCTGGGCCAGGCCTGCAACTAGGAAACTGCAACGCGAAACACACCCACGTCAGGTGATTTGTTTCGATCGGGATGCTTGCAAAGCCGGTGTTTTTTCACGTCGTTGGAACAGCAGGCGCCCGAGCCCGCCATTTAATTCCGTGACTGACGTCAGTTTACCGCGGCCGCGATGGTAAAATCATCGTCGAAGGGCCTCCTTGTTACCGCGCCTCTTCTCCCTCAAAACTCGCGTAAATATTCGGTTATTTGTTTGGCCGGTGTTAAGGAGAGAAGGCAGCAGCCGGAACATTCGCCCTGCGAGGTTTACACCACCGTGCCACCGTTCTTCCCGGAAAGATGAATTAGGGCCGTCCTTTAAGCATCGTGATGGATGTAAATATACCGCGCCAGACGTCCCACCAGATGAATTCGTGGTAACGGGATGGCTGGAATAACTGGGACACTCGTCGTAACTGTTTAAGGTTAAGACTCGCGTTTCCAGTTAACTGTCGATTATCTATTTAAAATATACCACAGTATATCGTACGCGAGAAATTAATTTGGTTCGATCGATGAAAAAGAAGGAATTTTTAATAAAAATCGTAGTACAATTTCTCGAAATATTGTGGATCGATATCGATCGGCTATCGTTGAGTTCGTAACCGACTCGATAATAATAATGACGAACGTATTACGTGCGTATTAATCAAGTCCAATTAGGCACGCTCTGCTAAGCCTCGATCGATGTGTAAAATTACGATTGTATCTGTATACCCATTCAACTGTCGCGCTACATAATCTTAAAAGAGGAACAATTGAAAGCACAAGTGTATCGATTAACAAACGTTTTGAAAAGTCAAAGAACCTCGCCCGAAAACAACAATTCGACGCTTCGTCGTTCCTCCCTTCGAGAACGTATCTTAGAAACGTACCAAGAAAATTCAATATTCGAAATCCGCAACGTCGCTAATCGAATCCACGTTAATTTCACGGGAACCGCGTGGAAAGATCGTTCTCCACTCGAACCTATTGAACGGGCTGGCAATAATTAAACGCGCGCTGTAAGTCACAAGATTAAACGACTGTCTCCCTACCAAAAGCCGAGCAAACCCTCTCCCGTCTAAACCGAGGGTGCTGCGTCCTACACCTACCTTGGACGAATCGAAACGAGGCGGCGAACGAGCGGTTTAAGTGTCGGTGCCCGAATCTCCTCCATCCGTTCCCCGTCACCGCGTAGAAATTTCAATAAGCCAATTCGGATAATGGATTGGCACGCACGTGCGTGTGAGCCCGTGTCGGTGCCGCCCGCCTCTGTCCAAAGTGCAACGTGTATTGTCTGAATCCCTGATTCGTTTCGTTCCAAGGGGGTTCCTATCCGGCGAGAAACAGAAAGACCGAAAGAGAAATAGAAGAGAGAGAGAGAGGGAATTTGGCCCGAACGTTTCGAAACTCGAAGTGGACCGCTGTTTCTGACGTGGGTGCAACCGAGGTTCGTAAATACTTCTCGACATTCGTTACGCGTCCTGTTTATTGGTTCCGGCAAATTGTTGTTGAACGCGGCTCGGAAATTCGAGATGCGAGAAGGAGAGCAGGGGGAGGGGGAAGAGCGGCGGTTGGGAAGGGTGATGCGGACGTCAGAGTGTATCGGTTGTGGCCGAGCGAGATCGACGCGATGATGGGTTGTCGTGATTTCGGACGAGGCTCGCGAAAATTATGGCCGGATGAATACGGGTTGGCGAGGCAGAGGAGGCGGAGAAAGGAGAGGAGAGGATGGATGGAGGAAGGGTGGAGGATGCGTTGTACGAATCAAGGTGAACCGGTGGCGTTAGGAATACACCTGGAGGAGAGCGGGAGAGAGTACCGAGAGAGGTATTTCAGCCCGAGGGTGGCTGTTATTATTTGGCCATCGTGCGCGAGGGTAACCTCGTTTCTCGGCCCCAGTCACGATCTCATGTAAATTATTAAACCGGCCGGGCTTTTATTTAGATTTATCGGAGAGGGAGGGGGAGGGCTTCGGCTCGGTCGAAAGGGAATTCGAGAGTTAAGTTTGACGATTGAAAACGAAGGATAGGAACGAAGGTTTGGGTCGTTTAAATTACCGGGTTCGATATCTTTCTCTTCTTTCGCGAGTCGCGCCTCGCGAATTTTTGTATTATGGATATCTATATCCGCGGCAAATTTTTAAATTTACACGCGTGAAATATATCGCGCGAAAGTTTTCTCCTTTTTTTTTTTTTTTTTTTTCAATCAAAACGAAGGGAGCTCGGGATGGCTGCTATGACGGATTGAAAAAAAAGATCATTATTGTCTAGCTGCCAGTCGACGTCGAACGACATCGGCGCGGCTCGAAACGCGTTTATACTCAAAATTTCATCGTCACGGTGGCCGCGTCCGGCTCGCAAATAATTCGTATTTTGCATACAGAGTGGTCGTTGGTATTTTTTCGCGACCACTGGTGGGGGATATTTTATGTAAATGGCGAAAGTATTTAATGAATAATGTAAATAACGTTACCGCCGCGGTCGTGCTCGATCGTGTTTTTCAAAATTCTTCCTACGCATTCCGAGGCCTCGAATTTCGTAATTAAAACGCGACCCATCCATCCTCCGTAATTCCTTCGAATTTTCTCCTCGATAAAAGATAAAAACGGAGAAGACGGATTAATATCGAGATTCGGCCGTAAACACGTCGTTCTCCATCCTCGTAGTTGACCGAGATCGCGAAGAAGATTCGATTCGAAAAAAGAAAATGCTCCTCGTTGGAACTCAGCTTCAGCTCGTCGACCGCGCAATTTATTCCAACATCCAGAAGCAGCCACGCGGCAACGGATTTCCGTTTTCCAATAAAATCTCCGCCCGTATGCGCCTCTTTACGCGAGTAGCACCGCGTAAGAGAATCGACCTCGGCCCCTTTCCACCTCCTTACCCCTCCCGAGCAACCCCCTTTGCGAACAGGCGTGAAACCGGCGTGGAAAAGAGGCGAGCCGTAATGGCTTCCTATCGGCCACGAAGCCTTCGAACACGCCGCGCAACACCGCCGATAAATAGGCGAGTTTATTTTGCACCTGGTTAAGCCGATGCGTCTCGTGCTATTTTCTTAACGTGTTTGTCGTGCCGGTTTTAAATATACAAACAAGAGAGAGAGAGGGAGGATCGATATACACAAGGGGTGTACACGCGCGAAGATAAACGTCGAGCGTTAAATATAGGGGAGAGAGAAAGAGAAGGAGAGATGGCGTCCATTAATAGCCAGAGTTCTCCTCTTAACGATCCCTTTTTCTCGCGAAGATGATCGTCGATTGAATGGAAGCTGCGTACTCTCGTACCCGTTTCTTCTTTTTTCTTTTTCTTTTTCTTTTTGCTTCGTTATTTACAACAGGCCCGTTCGAACGGGCCAAAGCGATAAAAGAGAGAAGATTCTTGCGAAGATTTAAAGGCGTTGTAAAACGTGTCGGAAGATAAATCGTGGAACATCGGGGCATCGAGTTAGAACGGATAACCTTTCTGACCGAGTTTTCCCTTCCTTTTTCCAAGGACACTGACTTTTACATAGCATTGACACGGTGACCCGACCGTTCCCCTTTCCCCCCACTCCATTGTAAACGTCTTTCCAGCTCGAGATTTACCATCATCATAAATTTACCCGTCCTCCCTCTAACGAGGAGACGACTCAATAAGGGTTGGTCTTCTTCCAAGTGGAACGGCCGTAATCAGACAGGACTACCAATCCTCGTAGTCCTCGTGGCAAGAGAGAAGCTAGCCGGCCGCAAGAAATGGCCATCCTTTTGTCCCATTGATCGGGATTCGTGGTCCTCGAGGGCGAATTTCGGGAGGATAGCCGACACACTGACCTCGTCAACCCCAGGTACGGCCCCTGCAGGGGTCGAATTAACCCAAGTGTCCGTCCTTACCTTCGTACGGGTTAAAACGAAGATTTAAGAAGGGAGTCGCGAAGCGTTAAAAATGGTCGGCACGGCCAAGTTCGTAAAAGGGCGGTTTTATTCGCGGCGTGTCACGAGCACGGTTCGTGCGTCGTCGGTGAAAAACACGCGAAAGTAGCAATGAAAGTTTGCGGCGGGACAAGGGAAACTTTTCACGAGCCGCCTCTTATTCCGGTGTCGCAACAACGACTTGTGGATGTTGGTACGGGTATCTGGGAAACTTGGCGAACGGAGTTTCGACGACGTTTCCTTCTTTCATAAATAAGAATGAGCTTAGACTCCTCCAGCGTATTTGTCTGGCGAAGCGACAAGCGGAAACAGGGAATCGAGAGATGTTGGGCGCATAGGCGCGAGGTAAACTAAGGATTTTCGATTATTTATGTTTGTGATATCTGAGCTGAGTTGTCTCGTCTCCATCGATCCTGATTTTTCGAAACTCCAACGCACCATCTCCAACTTGTTTTAAATTATTTCATTCTTTACCAATCGTATACACAATTTTTCTTTTTTCTTTTAGACACGAGTTTCGTTTCTCTTTTTTCAAATTTAAAAGAATTAACCGTTTAACGATATTACATTGTATCATTCCTTTGTCATCGAAATTCTTAAAAATCTTCGATTCGCTTTCTGCCAAACAGTAATCGTAGCCGTAAAAGCTAAAACATAAAAAGAAAAAAGTTCCTCGATATCTTCTACGAAAAGAAAGGATTCCCAGAGCGCGAATTCCATCCCATTCATCTCCCTAAATACTTAAAAACCCGTTCGGCTGCCATCTAATTTCCTCCCGTCATTACCTCCCTTTTCCATCCACCATCAATTACCAGTGTCAGGTCGTCGCGCAACAGCTTCGAAACGCCGCCGCTTCCGTTCGGCCGAACAAGAAAGGAAATCATCGCTGTCTCGTCACGCCGATTTTTCCCCCTTAATGAAGCTGTCCTCCCTTGGCCAGCCTGCGAAACTGCGAGACGCATCACGACTACCCGTGATTCCTCGCCTCCAAAGCGCAATCACGATAAACCGGAGGCTACCGACCACCAACAGTCTGTGCGCGGCTCTTGTTCTTCCCCTTCCTTCTTCAGAGAACAAACGCGTTCTCGGATATATAAGCTCGACACCGGTCGCGGCCAGGTCGAGGCTTAAATTAAATCCGGCTAATGTAACCGTGGGCTATATTAGATCTCTTGTCTGCGGCCGCGTGTCCCTTCTCCACCCTCGTCCAACGAAGGATAGAGAGAGAGAGAGAGAGAGATTGAAGGAGGAGAGGGAAATCTGTGATCTCGGTTACGCAAGAGGGTTGTCTCGTTCGAGGCGTAATTCTTTTCATCGAGAGGATTCTTTTGTGGAGAAGTCAATCTCTCGACGCGATTAACGCGAGGAGGGTGAGCGAGCAACGTTTCTCCACGTTTTCGAATCGTCCAGGTTCAAAAGCTGGTGCTGCTGCTGCTGGTGCTACGCCCTCGGCTAATTTCTCGGCTTTGTTGCTTTGTACGCGATCGCGCCTCGTGTCGCGCGAGTATACTTCTTGGACGAGGCTGGAAAGAGAGAGGGGGAAAGGGTCGAAGCGAAGGGGGATGAAGGGGCATCAAAGGGAATCCGACCAAGGCGGAGACGTTGTCTCTCCCGGCATCGGATGCCCCGTGATCGAATCGCTAATTAGCCTTCGCTCTCTCGGCCGGCGAACTCTTTGAGCGGATGGATGCTCCTCGACCTCCTCGCGCCACCCGCTAATACATTCGGATCGAGGGAATCCACTTTCAAGGCCCGTCGCGCCGCGCAATTTCTCCCACGGGGCGGGCCTGTCTGAAACGATTAATCGTGTTTATTTCGCGATCGAGGGAAGCCGATCATCGGTTTCTAAACTTCGAGCGCCGCGGTTCATCTACCGTGAAATCGTCCGATTTCATCTTGCTCGGTTTCATCTCGCGAATTATTTCGATCGAAGATTCGTTGCGTTTCCTTTTTAAGTTTTTGAAAAATTGTATCGAGATAAAAGTCGAGTATCTTGTATCTTCGATCGAGGTATAAATTATTTTAAAACGAGTTTTAATCGATCGAGATAAGTAATAGGGGGGAAAATCGAAAATGTAAATTGCCTAACAATCATCCTTGCAAAAGTCGTTGAATTCGTTTTATAACTCCAGTTTATAACTTCAACAGAAATCTTTACGATTAATCGATTCCGCGCAAGATATTGTCTCGCCCAGTGGCCATAACGCGAACGCTTTCAACGGCTATGCGATAACGAACTACTAGAAACCACTTTCAATAGATACGAACAAACGCGCAAAGGTTTATGAATTTCGTGGCGGGAAAATGGTGACGTTAATTATCGAACCGTGAACGATCGAGCGCGATAACGAGCCCGAACGAAAAGACGTCGAGCTCGTCGAGGATGATAAGTCATAAAGCCGCTTCGCTGCTATCGATTCTTATACTATACTTGTCAGGTTGTTATACTCTCTTGCGGAAGGGATTCCACGGTGTACTCTGGGGCGCCATAAACATTAATCCGAATCTGGACGATTCTCGCGTTCTCTCTCTCTCTCACGATCGAACGAGTCGAACCTCGAAAGTGACAAGACACAATATCTCACAATTCGCGCGATTTTATGGGCCTTTAGGGGTCGGATAACGATAAATTCTAGTGAACGATGACGCCTCGAGAATTGATCGGTCAGAGATTAAGAACACCGGCTCGAATCGGCTGACTAATATCGCCTCGACTCTTTTTTCCTCGACTCTATCGTTTCGCCTCGTTTCGTATTCACTCCGGAATACATTGTTGTTCTCGTTGTACAAATATAATAAACTCGACATCGCTCGATTTTCGTTTGTTTGCAATGGCCGTTGCAAACATCTGTTTTCTCGCCCGGATTTTTACAATCGATCCTATTACTATTTATATTAAACGAAGCCAATAAACACGATAAACGCGTGTATTTTAAATTTCCCAAACATCTCTTCGCCCGCAATCTCCTCTGCATCTGTTACCGTAGCTGCAAGCATCGTCCACATTAGACGGAAGCATAGCGCCACCCACCATTCACCATTCAATCGAGGAAACGTATGCGCGTCGGTCAACCGGCCCGGTTCGCCCCGTTTAATCTCAATGGGGCGAAGTTGGCCGCAAATAATCGATCGATCGAAAATCCGCGGATCCATCCGCGTGGCGAAGCGTGCCACGAAGGCGCGCGTACCTAAGTCCACGCTCGGGCCGCTTAATTAAGCGTGGTGCGCGAGCGTACGACCACCACCCTCCTCCAGGGTGGAAAAAAGATCAATAAAATCCCTCTCTCTAGTCCACGGCCGACCGCATTCATCGGCCACCCCATTTCTACAACATATTTTGCAACCTCCCCCACCACGCTCGGCCGCCCCACGTGCTCGTTCCACCCCCACCAACCACCAACGTCCGCCACGGCGGGGAGAAAGAGAGAGAGAGAGGCGTGCGTACCCGTGAGCGGGTTTGCCGGAGCGCCGCTAGGTGGCGGTGGAGCGCGAGGAAGGGAGATCGAAGGAGAGCGGCGGCGGACTCGTGCGCTCCTCTCTCGATCGAGAGAGAAACAACCGTGGTGCGCCCCCTCTCCCCGCAGCCCGGCTGCCCGCTTCGCTCCTTCGAGCGAGCCGTGGCTCTCGTCAGCCTGTCAGTTAGTGCCGTGGCGCCGTGACGGTACGGTTGTTGTGCCTGGTATAACGTTGTTGTTTTCGTTCTCCTCCCCCTTCCCCCCCCCTCTCGTCGTTGGTCCGCGAAACGTGTGCCCGTTCGGGATATCGTTGAATGGGGGAGCCCGATTCGGAACCCATCCCGGCTACGGACAGTTGTTTCGAGCGTGATAGATAATCAGTGTGATCCGAGTGGACTTTCCTTCCGAGGGATCGCGTGTGTGCCGCGTTTATCATCGCGTGTCCGATTGTTTCTTTCCTTTTTTTTTTTTTTTTTTGTTTTGCGTTTCCTTTTAATTTTTCCTCCCCCCCCCCCATCCCCGTTCTTTTTCTTCCTCAATTCCTGTAGATAATTTTGGTGATTCTACAAGAGTACGATTTTTTTCTTTGTTCGCCCTGTGCGATTGCCAGTCCAGGCCACGGAACGTTGAAGTGCGTGAATTCGAGGGCAATTGTGAGGCAAGTGAGAGAGGAATCGTGGATGTTTGGAGGATTCGAGTTTTCGGGGAAGGGAGAAAAGGCGGGAAGAGGAGGAAGAGTGGAGAATTTGGAGAATCGGGCTGTGATCGATGATTTCTTACGTGCTGTTACGTGGTGTGTGCGCGTTCTACCACGCCTGATCGACGCCCCGTAAGCCGCGCTTTTCGTATAGACAAGGTGAGCCATTTGTTTAAAAATCAATCTCTCCCTATTTTGTCCCGCGCGCGGACCGTATTCCGCCGCGGGACGTCGTGCCACGTGAACGGATCCAGCGAGAAAATCGTGGAACACAGATCACGATATCCTTTCTTCTGTGACGCGTTTCATCCTCCAACGAGAAAGGAAAAAAAGGAAAAGGAGGGGAATTCGGGTAATCTACCGTCGATCTATCCTCGATCGAATCCCTTTAACGCGCGATTGTGCTCATGCTTCGAAACAATCTTCTTAACGCTAATAAACAAGAGGAAAAAGGGATCTGAGAAAGAGAGTGAGCGAGTGAGTGAGTGCACAATCCCGATCATCTTCGAGTGTATCATTGTTCGGTCGATTCTTCCGCGTTCGCCAGATCAAGCCACCCTTAATCCAACTTATTGTTAGAAAGCCGTCGGCCGCCGGCTCCGAAATCTGATTTCCTCGCGTCGGCCCACATCCATCGGGCCCGTTTACACGAGTGACGTTTTCACGGTTCTCGTTCCAACGAGTCGGGATAACATCGATTAATCCGCTCCCGAGCCCTCGAATGGAGCGAAGTACGACGCGACCATCATTCTCTCTCTCTCTCTCTCTCGAAAAGGGGAGAAAGGAAGGAGAGAGACGACGACGACGATCTGAAAGGGAATAAGGTGGATTAGCGAGAAGAGACCCTCGAGAGAAGGGGGTCTGGTCGATAGGATCGGTTCACGCAGCCAAAGAGGGACAAATGAAATTTCCCCGTGGCAAATTGTCCGAGAGCCACACCGCAGAAATCAGCCCCCGCGTCGATTAACGCGAGGAAGGGATCCTCTTAAGACTTGCTAATTTCCCGCTTCGGCTTCCTGTGAGACGCTCCTCGATTCGAGAAGGGAGAGCAGGAGAGGTTTGATCTATTCGAAAACTGCCGAATCGGGACGTGGGCTGCCTTCTCGATCCGTTTCTTTCCACCGATCCTCCCCTCGATATACCCGCGTCACGTCCACGGCGGGACGGGCGTGGAAATGACGCAACAGGCAATGATAGATGAAAGAGAAAGGGTCACGGAATCGGGTAGTTGGAGGTGGTCCAAGGAAACGACGAATTCGCGATCCGATCGAGCGCCTCCTTCGTTCGGTATTCCTTCGACGAACGGATGCGTGGACGAGGAGGAAGAGGAGAGAGAGAGAGTGTGTGTGTGTGTAGTTGCAATGGAGTGGATCTAATCGAACGAATTTTCTCGTTCTCGTCGAGAAAATTCGAGGAAATCGGTGGTGTTGCGCGAGTGAAGATGAAGAAATGGCGGTTTCGTCGAAATCGAATGGGGGACGAGTTGTGTGATTTTTTTAAAAAAAGAAGGAAGGCGCATTCGTTAAAGCGCGTTCGCGACGAGATTCGTAGTAGTCGTGACGTGGGGGCACCGGATCCGCCGGCCACACATCCGATTTCAATGGATTTAAGCGGAGGAAAGTAGGTTTTGAATATTGATGAACCGGTATGAATATATTCATAAGACTAACAGTTTATTTCTGCAGTCGAGTCGATTCGTTTTTCCATTGATCAATCGACATCGGTTCGTGGAACCCCTCTGGCAAATTCGTGCCGACGATTAATATTCCTAGGCGTAGCTCGGCCCAGCTGCCCTTCTTCCACTGAGCGCAAATTCCTACGAATCGAGTCCTCTCGTAAATTTCTCCGCCGTGATCCTACCGATTACGTGATGACGTTTGTGTCGAACGACATCGTTCAAATCTCCGACGAACCCATGTCTTCGTTTATTTATGAGAAGCGTTTATTACGCACGACTCGTCGAGCAGACCTTTTCTCGTCTCTCGACCGACTGCGCAACTAGATGAACGACTGCTAACCTTTGTTGTGTCATTCGTATTCGATCTTCGTATTTTTTGGTGTTACGTTTGCAGAAGCTTGGTCAGAAAAGACCCTGCGAATTTGCTCGACAGAGTCGAGATTCCAATCGGTTGTTGGCGTGGGTGGCTCCGTCGAAATAATCGAAATGCTAATTATCCATTTGCATAATTAACGCGAACGCGATGAAGCGGGGCGGCGTGAGTCGTCCCACATGCCATCGAAGATTAACGGTAGCCCTACAGGTAGCCCTCCCTGTTAATGCTCATTTTGAATATTAACTCCTTGGAAATGAGCATCGATTCGCGAATTCGACCGACCGACGCTTATGAATTTTCAACGAAATTTCGAAAGGTTGTGTCCGATACAGTCCGATGCTTGCCCCCGATCGTTGAAAATTAATCGTTCACCGTGGAAATTCCATTTATACGAAATCCGTCAGGCAGGTAGACGTACGTAACAACAACACGTTCGTACAAGTACGAGCCCATCTAATTACTTCGTTACGAAACGATGGATAGTTTCCCCTAAATCCACGATAAGCCCAATAATCTAATGAGCTCGAATCTCTTCCCTAGAAGAGATTTTTTTTTTATTATTTTCGTTAACGAGGCTTGATCGAAAAATTGGATCGGAGAGAAAAAAAAAAGAAGAAAAAAAGGTCATTAGTTGGAATAACGAACAGAGTTCCATATCGAAATATATTCGATCGTCGATTCGAGCATCGGTGGTTTATATTATTTCTCTGAAAGCCTTTTTTTTTTCTCAACCCGTCCCGAAGGGGGGCCGATTTAACTCTTTGTGCGACTCTCGCCTTTGTCTTCGCCTCCAATTAAGATTCTTCGCGTGGCAGGGCTCGTTTAAATTCCCATTTTTCCGCTCCTTTAAGGGCGGCGCCACGTACCTCGACCACGATCGATCGAATCGAGCCGCCACTCTCCGCAAAGCGTAAATTGACCCCGATCGTTTACGGTCAATTTCCGAAAAAAATCTCGCGCCGCGACCAACCCCCGAGACGTCTGGACGCCATAACTTCTCTCGGCCACGTTCCTTCCTCGAAATGACAACCGGGCCAACAATTGGCCCCGTAAATCTTCCTCCTGGCCTTGCCACGAGGAAAACCTAGCCTCCGTATCTTCAACGCGAGTTCTTCGACTCGTTCGAGTCGCGACAAGAGATGGATGCATATGCGTCATCCGCTCGATTTGCTTGGATTTGCTCCCGGCTTGTTTCGACTAGTTCGATTAATTCGTTTCTTTAAATCGTCGGATCGACCGAAACTTTACGACTCGCACGATCGAGCCAATTATTCCAAACTTCCTGCTATAAATTCCTTACGTAATCTCTGGTTTTATTACGTAGCCTCGAATTTTTAACCACTTCTGAAAGAATCCAACGCGAATTATTACGAACAAATAATTTATTGTTCAAAACGTAATAATAATTGGAAATAATTGTATCGGCAAACTGCCCGGGTTACATGAAAAACGGATCAGCTGTAATAAATGTTATTCGATATGTCATATCAATAATCACGTCACTTTATCTTTAAGTTTACTTTTTCAACGGGTTAATGCTGAAACTGAAAAAGAAAATTTCAGATCTCCACAGTCAACCACAATTGAGCATTACAATTATTTGCAATAATCATCGAGTTACGACCGGTAAATTATCGAAGTAACTTTATTCGTAACTTCAACTATTAAATTTTCCCCATCACTGCCGTCAACAAAAGTCTCGAAGGCCAGATCTCTCTGTCTCTCGACAATCCTCTTACTCTACAGTAGAAACAATTTAAGAGCGCAGCCTCCCTCCCATCAATTTCCAATTTCGCTCTCCAATTGGCTCCTCCCCCTCCTCCTTCTCCTCCGCGCTTTCGCTCGCTTTTCGTCCCACGGCGAATCAAACCGCCGCCGCAGCGCGTCGCAATTAGAAAGCCATTACGATCCCGCGTGTACGCAACGAACGATGGACGGAGAGGGCCACGAATTCCCGGGCAGTTGGTGCACGCTTTCTTTGCGGGGCTGGATGGATGGATGGATGATCAGGTGCGCCAGGACCCCCAACCGCCTTTCGCCTCGTGCATCCTCGTGTTGAGGGCCCGTCATCGGCTGCCCTTCGCCCGCCCGCTGCTTCGTTTTCCACGTGGAAAGAAGAGGCGCCGACCACGCGTCGCTCGATCTTCTCGGAAATTGACCGTGAACGATTTACGCCTGCGGAGCTGGTGACGCGTGCGGCACGCAGACACCCCGCGGAGAGACACCGCTCTCTCCTCCACTTCCATATTTGTCCGCTTCCCTTCAGCGATTTTTTCAGTTCCTTTGACCCGAAGGAAGGGAATTACTAATTTTTGGATAATTTTTGACCGAGGATTCGAGTCGAGAGAAGGAGAGTTCTTGTACGCTTTTATAGAGAAATTCGAAATTTTCCTTCCCTTCTTCTCTTAATTTCTCTCCTTCTTTTGATATTTTTCCACCTCTCCGATTTTTTTCGAAGGAAGGGAATTACTAATTTTTGGATGATTTTTGACCGAGGATTCGAGTCGAGAGAAGGAGAGTTCTTGTACGCTTTTATAGAGAAATTCGAAATTTTCCTTCTCCTTTCTTCTCTTAATTTCGACACGTTTGTCGAGAATATTTTCGAAAAAAATAACCGACCAACTTCGTTTCTTATACTCAACATTTCGCACATTTTGCCAGAGAAAAGCGATATAATTGATGAGTTTTTTGAAACAAACTTCTAATTTGGTATTTCGATACGTTCTTATAGAGAAACTCGAAATTTTCCCTTTTCTCTCCTCCTTTTTCGATATTTAGGGAAGAAGGATGATAAAATGTGGGAAAAAATTTTTGCAAAAAAGTGTGCCATTTAGTTTAGAGCAGAGTTGGGCATATTAATCTATTGAAAAAGTCAACTAGTTAAAAATTTCGAATAAAGTTATTTTGAATAATTATTTATTAAAATGCTTGAATAACATTTATTCGTAGCCTATTATTGTCGATCCGTTTTTCATACAATCTCGGCATTATCGAAACAACGTATGGAATATAACTTTGTTCGTAACTTCAACTATTAAATTTTCCCCATCACTGATTTAGAGGAAGAAGGGATCGAGCTTATTGGATATGCTTTGGTAGGTGATT